GGGCCATTCGGATATTTCCGGAAACAAGATTCTCGGAACTTCTCGAAAATGTTCGATCATTTACACAGGTATTTATCGACGTCTTTGATACGGTCCCTCTATGGATATGCTACCACGTGACATTTTATATTTCAACAATCAAAGTTAATTTGTAAATCGGATAGTAAAGAACTAAAGACTAGTTTGCAGTCAAAAAATCATGTATATGTTAGAACCTATTTGCCTTTTGACAAAACATATGTGTTATTGATAATGCGAATGTTTATTAAATATTTATAAAAAAATAAAAATAATAAAATATTTATTATATCTTATATGTGTAGTTTTAATACAGCGTGCTGTTGTGCATTGTTACAATAAACCTGGGAATATATATATAAACCATACATTGTCTCGAAATATAAGTTTTATTTGTATAAGGCTTAGAAACAGGTGGGTCAATATCCCTAATGCGCCTCAGAGTGAGGAACTATAAATAGAAATAAAAAAAACCTGTGTGCAATACTATTGGACATTCTGCTTTTTTTAGTAATTGACTGAGCTTAACCATTTGTTCTTTTTTGAAGTGCAGAGGAGACAATAAAGATATAAAACTTTGGAGTTATTAAATGTTTGTACAGAACTGAATTTCCAGAGCATTTAACTGTGTGAAAATAAGGATTTTTCTCTTGCTGAAGCGGCATCACGCGGGGCCTTTCGGTGATACCCAATTTGTAAAAAAAATATCTCACTTCATACCCCGAAAATTATACCACATGTGTGAAAATGTCTCAGCTTCGAAACGAGCCATCATACATATCCAAGTTTACGATATGGACACAGGAATGGAAGAAAATGCTACCACTGTCGCCTATGGGAAATGAATTACGCATCTTGACCCAGGTAGCCGAGCATTTCTATCCTGTTTTGAGCCGAGTACAAATAAGATTTATATTTCGAGACAAATGTATAGTTATTCTTTATAAACTGCAACTCCTACAACTGTTCCAAATGAAATATTTAGGGTAAAACCCATCATTTTTTAATTTGGAGCGAACGACGTAAAAATTCCGCGAACCTGTACATTTAATGACGTCATAAATAAAACCTTACGGAAACGCATTGTCAACGTCATAAACAAGGCGATATACGATCAGTGACTGTACTAGTATATCATCAAATGATTATACGGTCAGTGCAATTTGACTGCACAAATAGCGCAGCTGCAGTATATATACGTTAATTATGTCCCACATGTTTGAACAGTGAATACATTTATGCAAATTGTACATATGAGCACCAATGAACAGGGAGTAATGCGTATACATAAGTTAGTATCTAAATTTTAAACGGTAGTGAATGAAAAAATACTTGCATGGTTTCAATTCACAAGGATTTTAAATCCTTGCATCTCACAAAATACGTAAGTTAAAATTTTACGAATCATAAAAAAAATTAATTACTACGCTAATTATTTTATACTGTTTTAGTATAGATTTATAAGTCTCTGCTTATATTTTGTATAGCAATATATTCATATACTAGTAGTGGAAAGTAAGAGTTTAAGAAGAGATTGATTTGATAAATAAAATGCCCATCAGAAAATACTTGACGTTTGTGTTTATTGATATTACGTTCTAAATTTTCGGAAAAGATTCATTAACAGGAATGTATTTTAATAAATAAATTTCAATTCTTTTTTTGTTTTGTTTTTAGAATACTTCAACCTTATAGCATCTAAATCTTTACAAAAGGGTACGATTTTGAAAATTGTATTCATTGTGTTCACCAGCTATCCTACACGTCTTCGTTTATTTACATTATATATCACCCTGTTCAAACGACACACTTTCGGTTTACGTTCACACAAATTCCGGATCAAATGGCAATGCATCCGGAGTCAAAACACTTGAGGTAGGTAGTTTGACATCCGAATTCAACTATTGAACATTAGATTTGAGCCAAGATTAATATATGTGATGATGCAAATGCGTATTCCTATCTAAAGTATCAGTGCGTATGCTTTCTATTTACTAATTCTTGAGCCAAAAAAAAAAAAAATAAGCATGCATGAAAATTAGTTTCACTAGCAAATGTGAATTTTCGCTTTTCTTAGCTTAAGTCAGGACACGACAGTAAGAGCTTGACATGTGACTTTCAAGCATGGTCATCATTACTTAATGTATTCAGACGTCTAGCTGTTATTCGGCAAAACCTTTGTTTCGAAATTTTGAGTCCTCAATTCCTTTCAAATTTGTACTTTATTTGGCCTTTTTAACTTGTTTTATTCTAGATTCACTGATGAGTCTTTTGTAGACTGAACTCGCGTCTGGCGTACAACATTTTAATTCTGGTATCTTTTTATATCTACATATCTTTTTATATAAATTGGTTCTTTTGAGAGTATGTAACTTCTGAAAATAAAATATTCTTCAAAACCAAGTTTTCCTGTAGAATATTTGGATTGATTTAAGTAACTTAAAGAAATCCTTAAAATATGAGATGTTTTATGTGACCAAAATAATTCTCAGTATATAAGAGGTCACAATGAAGCTGGTGTGTTACTCTCAAGAAATATATACGAAACCTTCTTACAAGTTGCATGCCACATGGTTTCACTTCACATGGAAATTGGACTTTAAATTTATCTATACAACATCAACCATGAGTACAGACAACTTCAATAACGAGTATAAGAATAATTGAAGTCATCGAGGAAACAAAATATGAAGATATGATAGAAAAAAATGCATCCAGATTATAAAGCAAACTGAGTGCTTAAATTTATATTGCAATTGGTTTTTGCAATTTGCATTAGACATCCGGTTTGCAGAAACTGGGATTTGCAATAGGATTATGAAAAAATGATGTACACTCCCAAGTAATAAATAAAATAGTCAAGCCTTGAAATGTAAATTCAAATAGTAGCAGTATATAATGCACTTTTCTATTCACAACTATCCAACATTGCTTTCAATTGACTTGTGCAAGAATCTACACACAATTACATATTTTCAATAAAGGTGTTTTAACACCATCATTATCTTATTCTATTCACAGTCAATTATTTCAAATAAAAAGCAAACAAAAACTCGGCAACAATTTTTTGGTGACCAGTCAGCGGTTCACGTATTGCTTTTCTTATTTTTTTAAAGAAGGCAACTTTTAAGTTGAATTGCTACAATCTTTCGTAAATACACCAAACGTCTTTTCGGCAGAATCAAGCAAAATCTTAGTAACCTTAGTAACAATTTCATTTACACTGCTTTGATCCACATGACTAAATAATTATTTATTTCTAAAATATGTGACAATAATTCATTAACCCCATCTCTGTTTATGTCACTTTTACAATCAATAAATACTGTTTTCATGTTTCCATTTACCTATGTAATTGTTTTCCATTTCCCTATGTATTTGTCGTTAATTCTAATAAATGCATTTACTTAAATTTAAACATGTCCGATTACACATTACAATCTTGTTCTTAAAAGATTCGCGTATTTGCATTATTTCAAAATCAACAATTTTGTGGAACATATTTGCAGAGCTCAATACGTAGTCAACTACGCTGGAGTTACGACTTGTTGGCTTTCCAATTTTGTCAGAAAAACTCGACCGTTCAGGACGAATATTATATCATTATTTTGTATATTCTAACTAATTTGATACGTTTAGAAAGGATCACATGTTCAACTATATTTTCAATGGTAGACTGAAAACAGCAGATAAAAAAGTGATATCGCACGGTTATTTTTAGAAAAGAGAAATTGAACGTTTATTTTTAGAATATCAGACACATTCCATGCAAACGTTCATACGAATTTGTGCTTTACTTTTGGCTTATTGACAATAATAATATAACAATTGTAGCCTTTGTATGAGGTTGATACAAGGATTTATCGACCTAAAGAAGTGTATCGACCTCGAACTTCGTCCTCGGTCAATATACTTCTTTCAGGTGGATATATTCTCGTACCAACCTCATACAAAGGATATAATTGTATATTTACAAAACTAATAAGTTTTCATCCATATGAATCCACTGTCTGATCTGGTGAGTTTCGAATTCTCGGTATACCAAGATCGTCACAGTCTAAAAAGTCTATTTTATAAAACTCATCGAAAGCAAACAATGCATTAACAAATATATCAATAAATTTATCCATTTCAAAATAATAAGCGAAAATACCAGATCGATTATTAAAATCGTAAAATAAGCAGACATGGTTTGGATCTTTATACATATTATGCAATTCTACCTCTAACTCAAACATGGCATTATCTGCTGTATACAATGTATTAACAGGTGGAATATAAATCACACCTATATATGATCTTGCCTTAGCTGTACTAATCTAGTATTTTACTAATTTTAAACCAAAAGACAAAAGAATGATGTGTATCTATTGGAGTGATACAATTTTTTTTAACGTTTATGTCTAAAAGCTAAGCCACCTGATCTAAAGTTTGAGATATTTTTTCTTCTTTTTTTACGATTTCCACAGACATGTCATCGAAGTCATCTAGTTTGGTTTCTAAGAAACAAACAATATAGTGACATGGCCTTTTAATACATTTCTAAATTCTGGATATACACGCTTAGATTTTAAACCACATACGTTTAGTATCAATAATTGTAATTTATTTGTATCAGTTTCTCAATTTGCTTAATTTCTGTTGTGATTCATTTTCTAAATGGTGTAAAATATTTAACAGAAAAATATGAGAAAATTCCGATTATCAGTTCCTTTGAATTCCAACGTTTTTTAAAGTCCATATCATGATTTTTTTTATTATTTATTTGGATTTAGCATTTAAAATACATGTTTGTGTACTTAGTGATTGGTTGTAAACTTGATCCAATAGAATAGTCGGTAATTACAAGTCCCTCAGGTGACAATGGCTTGTATCCTGATCATTTTTCAATTATTACATTCAATCAATATAATAATATAAGGTATGTTTCTATAACAATCTCTATATTGAAAAAGTTGTTTTCAAACTGTTTTCAAAAGTAAATGGAAAAGATACAGCTGAAATTGGTGATTCTGGTGATTTTTAAACTAATTTACATATCTTCAGCTAACGTGACAAATGTTTTAGTACTGTTACCTGGAAAAAGAGGAAATTTTTATTTCCCATTTGGAATGGAACGTGCCGGAGCTGCAGGTATGAAATAAAATATTTTTTCACAATATAATATAATTTATTTACATATCAAATTGTTTTTATTTCCTTGCAGGATGATTTCTTTCCTTTAATTTTTCGCGTTTTATATTTTACTATCAGTTTGCGACATGCGCATAATAAAGTTGCATGCACTAGACTATTATGCATGTGTTCATAGACTTGTATATATTTTGGTTACCAACTAAGAACCAGCAGAATATTTGGACGAATAAAATGTTCCAAATGCCTTATCTTCGAATTTAATTAGGCACTTTTTGTAGACGAACCACAATCATTTATCTGACCTGTATTTGGCAAATCTTTTCGGAATTTCTACACTACAAATGGATTCCCCTTCGGCCTTTTGGCCTTTTAACTTTTTTGTTCGAACGTCACTGATGAGTCTTTTGTAAATAAAACGCGCGTCTGGCGTACAAAAATGTAAACCTTGTATCTATGATGATTTTATTTACTATAGAACCAAGGAATTTATAATCTATTATATTTGTCTCCTAGGTATATACTTAATTTTCTAATGTGAGAATTTAATTAGAAACCGTCAGAGGTGCAATGACAAAAGAGGTCATTCATTCGTCTTTTGACATTATAAACGTACAGTGGCGTAGTGATAGTTTTTATTTGGACAAAAGTACTTGCAAACTTGTTACGAAGTGAATTTTGAAGTTTTTAAGCCAAAATTATTTTTAAAATTCCATTTTAATGACTTTTAAACATCCGGTATCCTACCCTTCCATGTCTTGTTCTTGTATCTTTTTTTCTCACCATTTTCCCGCTCTTTTAAATGTTACCTTCTCAATGAACGACTCTCAAGAATGAATAAAAATAGAAAGTCAAAGGGTTATAAAAACACACAGCACTACCTCAACAAAGCATGGAATTAAATCAGCATCTAAAACTACTACTACTAAGTTTAATTTTAGTTTGATAGTTATTCATTACTATAATCATCAAGAAGCTGATAACAATATAAAAAGACAGAACTTCCTTAACGTTTATATCACTTTACTATTATTAACCGTATTCAAACGATTAGCACCATTTCTAAATGATGGACAACTAATTACAGATATCCGTGACCATCTACATTATTAATCAGAACCTTATTTGATCAATCACATCTTTCAATCTTTAATCATATAGCCATTGATTTGAATATATACGGTATTGCACGACAAGTGAATAGATATTTTTCCAATTGCTGGATTTAAGACCTACGGATATATTTCACGGTTTTTCCCCCCTCGTTTCTATCAGTACATTGAATAGTATCAATAACAATGAATGCAAATCATTTATTTAATAATATATATATTGGCATTACTCTCAGTGCTCTAATTTGAAAGATAGTTGTATTATTGATAATACATCATTAACAGTCAATTGTACGTTGATCAAACATGTGACACGAAATTCAATTATATGTGAGGATAATCCAGATTTACCCGAGGGATCAAAACAGTGTTAATTATTTTGATAATAAGTAATATATGACAACAGATCATTAGAATAAATGCGTTGGAAGTGTAAAAAACAAATAAATAATTAACAAAGAGATTATAGCCAGATAATTCACTCTCTATTTTTTTTCTAAATAATAATAATAATAGTTTATATTCATTTAGCACATACTTACAACTTCTCGTCCAATCAAATTGCTTATATTTGCCTTCTAATTTTCATAGTACATACTTTTCCTGTGTACTAAGTAACTACACATGAATGACCACAAGGGTAAGATTTCATTGTATCGTAATCAAGATATTTAAAACAAAAATTGCCACTGGCTATTTTGAAATAAAATGCTGTGTTCCAAATTAAATTAAATAGTTTGTAATTAGTTTTCATGTTGATTTTTAAATATCCTGCTATTAAAATCTTTGGATCTAAAAATTGTTTTTGACAATTGCAAATTTTATCATTTAAATAAAGGGTAATACATATGGTTCTTTATACCTTGATTAGAGTACAACGATATCTTAAAATTATGATAATGTATCATCCATGCAATTACTTTGTACTCAGAAAAGTGTGTACTATGAAACCTTGTGCAGGAAAATTAAAGTAACTTGTTGATAATTTTTTAAACTTTCTTAAGGAAGGTGATCTATTTCGTCATGAATTGATTGATTTATTGATTATTGGTTGCTTAATGTCCAGTGGCAAATATTTCATGCATGTTCAGGATGATGTCATGAATTGAAAAACTGTGATTATGTCTGAAGATAATGTGCCACCTATATATATATATAAACATATTCTGATAAATCTTTTAGTTTTTACTTTGAAATAATAAAAAAACAAAAAACACAAAACACAAAACCTATAATCTCTGATCTATTGGTAGTTGCTTTTTAATGCCTATCTGCTAGACTATATCTATGGGGACAAACTATCTCTATGTTTAAAATTTATTATAGCTTTAGTTTTACTGTGAAATTAAAAAATGTTTTCAAAACATGTAAAGCTTCCACTGCAATTTAATTATTGCCTGCTTTTGGTCAATTTATTTTGTCATCTTACCATGTAAGAAGAACATGTATAGTAAAACACCGCTTTATATCAGTATACATACTTACACCAGCAGCTACCATCTTTTCATTCTGGAGTGAAGGGCCTTTTGAAATCACATATTTTACAATAATACTAGTGAGTAGATTTACAAAACTTCATTAATGAACTCCTTTTTACAAACACCTGTGATACAAGTAGTCAGCAAAAATAAACTATCAATAGACCAATTAAAAGGATTACTCGAGTAGTAAATATGTGCTAAATTGGATAGTCTATGAAAAGGTATATACTATGAAATTAAGAGCTCGGGGCAAGCCCCTCGCTCTAAATTTCATAGTATATACCTTTCCATAGACTAACCTAGACTAAATATATGAGCTATAGTTAGAGGAATGCGCAATGCTAGGCGGTGTTGAGATAGAAGTGAGAAGTGAAAAGTACATGTTCCAGCCCCGGTCGAGGAGGAAGTAAGAATCAGATCAACTCTAACATTGTTAGTTTGATTTTCTAGGCATACTACTACTAAAATAATTAGGTCCAATATGTAAGCCGGCATGACGTAAAAATATATATTATATATAGATCTGTATTCTATATTAAATTACATGGTTACAGAGATGATAATATACACAATATAACATATTTCGCATGTGTGAAACATAAATAACTGTACTTTAACCTGGAGGACAGACTTTCACTGATATAAAATTAATAGATACACGACTTTTCTAGTAAAACAGGGACTATTTAATGTTATTCAGGGTTATATCTGGTCTATATACCAGCTTTGATAAGTGTTTGGTATTACTATAAATTTTCACTTCTTCGTACTATGAACATCAAAATTATTTTTTTTGTAAAAATATTTCCTTTCTCTATCTGAACTATACCTAACAACAAAATTATTTTTATTTACCTGTGTTTAAAGTAATTGCAAATGGCTGATATTTTTGTTCAAGTATATTGTTTTTCTTAAATTCTTTAACATTTCACAGCGGGATAACATGTTACTTTAATTATTCTTCCCTTAGTTTATTTATTTTGTATTTGCATTGTATCATAGATCAAATTTATTTGTTCAGTGTATGTTCACCGGTGTTAATATGTCTTTTGATTGAGTTAAGCCATTTCAATTGATATTTTATGGTGTGTTTTTCTGTGTTGCGATGTTGCACTATTGTTTCGGATGAGGGTGGGGGTTTGGTGCCATTGGAGCGTTTGGGCCCGCTGCGGTTGTTTGCACCTGTCCTGAGTCGGGGGTCTGGTGTTCGGTGATTGTCGTTTGTTGGTGTGGTTCGTGTGTGTTTCTCGTTTCTCGTTTTTTATATAGATTAGACCGTTGGTTTTCCCGTTTGAATGGTTTTACACTAGTAATTTTTTTTTTGCCCTTTATAGCTTGCTGTTCGGTGTTAGCCAAGGCTCCGTGTTGAAGACCGTACTTTGACCAATAATGGTTTACTTTTATAAATTTTGACTTGGATGAAGGGTTGTCTCATTGGCACTCATACCACATCTTCTTATATCTAACTATTAAAATATAATAGTCCCAGAGTGAAATAATTTTGACTGTAGTGAATACATTATTAAATTGAAGTATATTGACATTTGTATCAATAGTTTTACTGTGAAACTCCCCCTTTACAACGGTGACAAACATCAGCGGTGTACTGACGCCTGAATTATCAAAACATAGTATGTGCAGAAATTATATAATATAATTCATTCATATATTATAATCTACCTGTCATCCATAGAAAGACATAAAATTCAAACTTTAAATCTAAATCTCAAGAAATATGAATTACTCAAAAAGGGCATGTTTTGCCCCAAAACTATATCCACAATATTTCAACCCCCCTTTTTCGGGCACCTTCCACAGGCAACCTGTCTGCAGTCTGGATTACATCGTGTACATACATTTTAACGTTTATTTTTGCGACTAGTAAGTTATTATGTTTTGATATTAAAATACAATCAAATAAATACTGTAGTGCAAGGAAGGCGAAAGATACCAAAGGGCATTCAAACTCATAAATCGAAATTAAACTTACAACCCCATGGCTAAAACAGAAAAAGACCAACAGATACACAATAGTACACAAAACACAACATAGAAAACCAAAGACTGAGTAACACGAATCCCACCAAAAACTAGGGGTGATTTCAAGTGCTCCGGAATGGTAAGCAGATCCTGCTCCACATGTGGAACCCGTAGTGTTGCTCATGTACAAATGTATTGTTTTATCAAGTGGCGATGGAGCGTGGCGGGGGAGGGGGGAGAGGAGCGGTTAAACCAGATTCTTACAAATAAATAGTAAATTTTCAATTACCTCTTGTATCTTGGACATAAAATGATAGATTGTATATTACAATGTATATGATCTGATATTAAATCTATAAATTCAAATGTTATCATTGTCGGTTGGAGACTTTGTAGGCTTAGTGAAACTTTTCAATTTGTACACTTT